CTGTGTGTTTGCTGCGTAAAAACATGAGTTGATATTTGCATTGATCTGACCATAATCACAAAGAAAGGCTTATTGGAAATGCAAATTCATTCTCTGCCAAGAGGTGGCGCTTTAAGAGCGCAGAAATATTGCGGTTTCCCCGGGACTGGCGGTACACAAAGCAGCTCCGCGCTCAAACGCTGCTTTATCAGAAATTATAGGTCAAATGAAATTAAAATGCCAATGACACATTTCTGAGGACAGTCGGTTCCCTTCAGATACATTCAAATAAAGACATTTTTTTCAGACTTGAAATGTGCAGCGCTCATATTCATTCAATTACATCATTGCCTTTTGAAGTTTAATCCAGCCGTATCGCGACTCTTGTTTTTCCGTCCCCAACTGTAAGACCTCTTGAAATTATAATTTTATTTCTTATACCATTTAACGCATTTAAAACTTATGGCCTTAAGTTTGATACAACTCACTTTATGAGTTTTTAAGGACCCGCGGGAGATCTGCATTTAAGATAGCCCGTCGGGCAGAGTGCTGATTTTGGTAGCCCGACTGGAAAGCACAATAGCCCCGGGACGTCGGGCTAGCGATTTTGCGAGCCCTGCAGGGTCTTGTCACTGCTGCTCTTTGAGGAGCACAGGTATGATCTTGTCATCTCTCTTACACTTTTGCACATGCGGAGCAGAGCGTACAGAAGTCAGGTGAGAGGGAAGCAGACGGCGCACCACCTGGCCCTTACAGCACCGGACCCAGCACTGTTCCTTTAACCCACCGAGCTGCTGAATGAAAGAAAAGCACACAGAGACTCAAACTGAGAGGATGTGTGAATGAAAGCAGAATCTTAAGGCCTAACTCCAAGCCATGTAAAAAAAAATTTTTTTTTTTTAAGTCCCAGCAAGCAGCGCAGCTCCGTTCATGCCATTTCATCATGAATGGGTCTGTGGCATATAAGAATGTCCACATTATAAGGAAATGTTCAACACAGATGACAAGTTTATATAGAAACGTATTTTGTGCATTATGTTGGTTTAATATGGTTTTGAATTTCAATTTAATTATTTTAAAAACGTGTTGTGGTGTAATAAGTAAAAGGTAAACATTTGCACCATACAACATCTAGATCATGACTATTCAAAAGTTTGGAGATGGTAAAAAAAAATTTATATTTTTGAAAGTCATCTAATTTATTTGGTCAAAAAAATGAGTAAAAACAGCTATATTGTAAATGTCAACATGTTCTATAAGGATATATTTTAAAATGCAATTTAAACCCTGTGAAGCAAAGCTGAATTTTCAGCATCATTACTCCAGTCTTCAGTGTCACATGATCCTTCCGAAATCATTCTAATATGCCGATTTGGTGCTCAACTAACATTTACTATTATTATCAATTTTGAAAACAGTGGTACACCCTTGCTGAATAAATCTATTACTTTAAATTATAATAAAAACATACTAAACTCAAACGTTTGAAAAGCAGTATTTCAAGGTAACAATCATGAGGCTCTGCAGGTTTCTTCCCTATAATATAATTCTGTTTTGTGTGTTTTTTCTCACACCACAACAATTTTGAATATTTGAAAGTGTTTTCCTTATATTAATAAGCAGGTTAAAAAAAAATTCTGAAAATGAAAAAAAAATGACAAATGTTCTTTTCTTTCTTTAAAACCCTTTAACTGTCACCCGTCCCCTCTGTGGGATGACTAAGTTTACTTCACTTCACTACATTACAATTAAATCCTAATCTAATCATGACAAACTATATATTGGTGGAAAGGTCTAAGACTACTAAACAGATATTTTACCAATGTTTTTGTTAAAAATGATGTAGGAAAAGTAATAGATTAATTTTTGACAAGAGTGCACCTCAGACATCTACATCATAACAGGAGTTTTGACCTTTGTCACAAAAAGTCTGTCGCCTTTTTCTCTATCACACTTTAGAAATCATCAGAAATTATATATCAATTAAAAACTTTAAATCTCAAAATTCATCCTTTTGAAACCCATTTTAAAAATCAAACATTGCATTACCATACCATGTCATTGCGTGTACAGTATGAATGCCATTCTAAATGTATTTTTGAATAAAATAATAAATTACCGTCACATCATTGGCCTATATACAGTTTTAAAAGAACTTAACCTTGAGTCTTGCTACAGCTGACTGAACAGGGCCCCTTTCTACAGCTAAACCGCATGCCTGTCAAAGCCACGAGTAAAACAAACCTCGTCTGCGTTGAGAAAAACACTACCTCATTAATATGGGTGAACGAAGGTCGTTCTGACGACCTGCATCAAAACCAAGCCTAATAACACGGCTGCTGTGCAGTACATGACCCCTCAACAAACCAAGGTCCTCGCTACTTGTGTTCGGAGCTAAAAATGGCCAGGCAACAAACAGAAAGGGCATGGATCTAATTTCAAGGTTTGTGGTCAGAGCACAGAAGCTCATTTTCAGATGTCATCCCTCAGGACTAGGTGAGGCTGACCAGGTGATGCCAAACATGGCTCCCATGTATGTGGGACACAGACCTCTGCTTCTGTGCCAGAGAGAGAGTTTATGAATGGCCCATCTGAGCATGTGCTGCACTGAAATGTTTCCCCACTACTGCACATGTCAGTGCTCTGCTTCTGGGTGACCTATTTCCATTCTCGCTCTAACACAACATGCGCGAGAAAGCACACTCAACAGACTACATTTAAATGAACAGTAAGATAAAAGCAAAGGATTCATTCCCAGGTCCACAGATGACATTTTATAAACAAACATTTAGTGAGGGTTCTGGACAGACATGCAAAAATAAGGTCATGTCAGCACCTAAACGTCTGTTTTGTCTCAAGTACAAACCGACGTGCTTAATCAGACAAATCATAAACCTTGTTATCTTTTTTTTTTTTTTTTTTTAAATACAATCTACATTTTCCCCAACGACTGAAAGCTACAGTCAGGAAGTGACGCGAGCGGCCTGTAAAACTCACTTCTTCCATATCACCCTGCTTCGGTGAAGGGCAGAGAGCATGGCTTGTATGAAACGGAGATTAACACTTAACCTAATCCCATTCAAAATATGAGCGACATCTGGAGCGCCATGTGATCTGTAGTGTTGAAGCATGTACGTGCAAACAGATCCATGTGTGAGGAGGCAGGGAAGGTGAAGCTAATGCACCAGACACAATAGATGGTCAAATCAAAAGCACTCAAAGGGCTATCTGCAGCAATCTTTCCATCCCATGCGCTACTTAGCCTCGCGAGCAGAGAAAGAAGAGCACTTCACGTGCATCCCTTTAGCCCATTAGATCCTGCAGCACACAGGGTAATTGGTTTACGGCTGCTGTGAAACTGTGCCTCGCCATATGGGCATCCTTAAACTGCCCATCCAGTTATATTGTGCCTAATTTACTTATCAAACACATTCATCATGAGACGTATAGATATTTTCACACTTACATGTATGCATTTCGCAGATGCATTTATCCAATTTATGTTCCCTAGGAACCAAACCCATGACCTATAGGCCGTGCCAGCTGCATGCACTACCAGTTGAGCTACAGGACAACGCACATACACGCTCACACCAATTAGACAGACGGACACAGTTTTTATAATCTGAGGAGCGACACATAAAAACGGAGACTTGTTAGGAAGTAACCCAGTTTATCCACTCAGAAGTCGCTGGAAAACATGCTGTGCGTAATTTGGTAGCATTAAAAAGATTTAAGCATTTATCAAGCCATGCATATGGCACACTGTTTCCCGGTTGGACACGGATAGATCCTGCAGCAGCACACAGCAAGATCAAATTTGTTTCTATTGAACGAACAGTGGAATAAAAGAACTTATTTGGGTAAATGATGTGCTGTTTTTTTTTCTTGTGGGTCCAGATCTATTACTTCTTTTATGAATACAATAAATGCAAATCAAACATGCAATTCCTCTGCTGTGATGAATGCGTTTACAATTTCTGAATCAAAAAATAAATGTGATATTTTTGGTGAAAAAATAAAATAACATGGTCAAAATGTTCTAGATGTAGTAATATTTAAAGCTGTTAATGCCCCCAAAAATAAGCAGTGAAGACATTTTGTTGTTTAAAGATAGTATTTAAATTAGAAAAATAAAACTTCGAAGTAAGTGTGCCATAATCAACATGCAGGGAGCCATTTTGTGGCCATGTGACAAAAATATTTCGCCCTTTATATGAAAAGGCATGTTTTACTCAGTTCAAAAACTAAATCTATAGAACCTCGCCATGGCTTCATGGCATTATTTTATTAATAGTATGATATGTATGACAAAATGTACGACAACAACAACATTACTGAAAAATGTTTCAAAACTTTTTGGAAAATAATGATAGGTGATTCTGTGTGTTGACACTGCATGCATTTATTGGGCATATAAAATATTATAGCACTTCTTGATCATTACGATCAATTTTTGCCGACGTTTTTCAAAAATGTAACAAATCAGCATGGCCACAAACATTACATTAAAAGGACTTGGTGTTTAAAACTAGACTTCTAGTAAAGATTTCTCCTTTTCCTAGTTCCTAGTATTCATAAATGTCCTGATAAAACAAATGGTTGTAAGAGAAGCAGTCAGCGTGTAGGGCTACTTTAATAGAATAGACTAGTACAACATGTAGCTACAATATACACACACACTACCCAGTAAAAAAGACTGACGATATCAGGATAATCGGAGTGTTATTTTATTAACCAGTTCATTGACATTTACTGCAATCATTTGTATTAAGTTTCAAAAAGCAGCTAGGCTATTTGATCTGATAAATGTAACCTCCACAGCTTCTCGTCGACTGAACAATTAAGGCAGCCTAAACGGTTCTTTCAGAAACAAAACGTCTTGTCGCTGTTCGTTCAGCCGTGCTTTTACATTTTACTCCATTTCTACTATTGTAGTGATTGTTGCACCTGCCATTACGGCGCAACCGCAACGCCAAAAGACATCAATGAGCATCTCCAATAAAGGACACATAACTTACCCTTAACGCGGAGAGGTCTATTTCATCCAGACTCCGAGCCGGAGAATCGCTCGCCATATTAAAGACGAAAGAAAACCAGAATTACACAGCGAAACAAAGAAATGTTGTTGACTAGATCTCAGGCAGCCGTCGGCTGATCTCCTACAGCAGCGCGTTCAAATCTCGTCTCGCTGATCGCTCGTGCTTATAGTACAATCCGTCTTTTAACTCTGGAGTCCAACGATGCTTTTGCTAGACCTCACTTGGATTTGGCCCCAGCAAACAGAAACAGCGTGTGGTCTGAGGACAGCATGTTTTTCAGCAGGAGCTACACATCTTTTGGTCTCTAACACTGTCGCCGAAATCTCAATGCCGCTTTTCTTTAGAGTAGCATCAATCAGATGTGTGGGCGTGGCTAAAAGACGGGGCGGAGCCGGCGTCACTAGTACCGCCCATTTGTTTGCTTCCACTGTTCACTGTTACAAGAAACATGCAATCTGTCCTTTGCGATTCATTTCTACTGTCCCGAGCCTTTCCTCATACTTAACTTTATGTTAGGAATGCACTAGTATCATATCTCGTTATTCTGTGTTATGCTGCCCTTTTGTAGGCAGTTATCTTAAGTGGTTCTTAGGAACTCTTGAAGGGATTTTTAAGCATGTTTACCTGCCAGATCTGCTGAGGACCAAATCTAACTGACATTCCTTCAGGTACACCTTGTTTACCACGTTTCCGTGCCGCATAAATAAGGAATGAATGAATGAGATACAAGCAGCAGTCTTAACAGCGATGACAACATCCAAAAGAAATCACCTCTGCGTTTGAGTTTCCCAAGAACTGTGCAACTCCATGTTTTCCATGCAGCATATCAAATGTAAAACAGATTTAGTTGTTTCCTGAAATGTAACAATAAACCAATTCTATTCACTCTTTGAATTTTCGATAAAAATCAAAAATTGGGGTCAACAAGAAATATACAGGTGGATTTCCCTCATTTTAATCTGTTGTTGTTTCTATTTAAAGGAATACATTATAAGCTCATCCCATTATTCTCATTTTCATCCAAACCAATGCAGTCTGGCACAGCCACCCTGTAATTCAGCTGAACATTTCTGCTTGGAAACTTGACCTATATAATTGTGTAATCCACTTCTTAGGAACTCCTTTCATGTTCCTTACATGCAGAGGCGGACAGTAACTAAGTACATTTACTTGAGTATTGTACTTTACTTGAGTATTATTTTTTCTGGGAACTTATGACTTTAACTTCACTACATTTGAAAGACAAATATTGTACTTTTCACTCCACTACATTTCTATCAAGGTCCTCGAAGTAGAAAGTCGTTACTATGTAGCAGCTTTGAAAGTCAGTGGGTGATTATTTTTCTTCTCTAAAACATGACGTATTACGTACAACAATAATAAAACAGTACATTGACATAAAAAAGGAAATTTACTTTTGGTACTTAAGTACTTTTAAAAGCAAGTACTTCGGTACTTTTACTTAAGTAAAAATCTGTCTTTACAACTTTTACTTGTAATGGAGTAATATTTGACCAGCGGTATCTGTATTTTCACTCAAGTAATGGAGTAGTGTACTTTGTCCACCTCTGCTTACATGTTCTGCTTTCCTGTTTTGTTGCAGGGTAACACACCAATCAAGAGACAAGTCATGTTCATTCCTGGCTGACATTAGAGGAGAGGGTCTATTACTCATATAAATCATCTGTCAAAACATATTTCTTAAATTGTCCTAGTTGTTAACTTTGTTGTCATTGTCTATTAGTGATTAAACAACATCCTTAATGTAACTTGTTGAGAAGATCACATCAAATACACAGCTCCACAGACACTATTATTTGAACAAAGATCCAGAGCCTGGCCAGAGTTTCTCTAATAAGTCTTTATTACAATTCCATGGATTCCTTTTATTATTGCCTATTCAAAACAGCTGCTCGGCAACTACTGGACACAAGTGTAACTTTGTTACTTTGCATGCAAGTCTCTTCAAGTGAGTGTTTTAAGGTTAAAGATCACAGTTTGCTTAAAATGTCAGTAAAGTGCAAGCCAGATGAGCTTGCCTCACGGTTTTGATGCAAGTAGCTCATTAGTGGGCTTTTCATGAAGCCAAAATCTGTTTCCAAACAGATATGACTCTTCGAATCATTTATATTTATTTGAGTACCCCTTTTTGCATATTTATCTCTTTTTGATGCCTCCAGTTTACAGAGAAACAGGCCGAATTCAGTGCACCAGGATTGAGATTTGCTGATGCTTTAATCCAAGGTGACTCACAAAATGGAATACTACAACAAAATTCAATAGGTATAGTTCCACCCGCATGGGGCAAATAGCCACTGAGAGCAATTGGGGTTGATGACCTAGGCCGTCGCCCCCTGGTGGTTACTTGCTGTAGGCAAAATAAAAAGACATTACACTCTATTTGCCTTGTTAATTAAACAATGAATCATGAAAAGGGATTTCCTGGGAAATGTGTCCCACCTAAAACAGTCATCTGAATTTGCATCTGAAGGAAGCACAAACCCTACAATATTCCATACTGTGTGAAATTCATGCAGGAAGTATGTTTGTTACGTGTTTAGCAAGTATTTGTTGCACAACTGTTGCCCAGAGGTGCTTCTTCAGTAGAAACAAACCTTCCATTTATACCTGAATCAGCAGACCGGTTTGTCTTTTGCAATTTCTCTGCTATCGTTCAAAGGCTGTCACAGAATAAGAAAGAAGAAAGAGTGACGAAAAGTGGGGCATGAGATAGTCACATGTTTCGTGAACACTCAACACATCAGTTTAACTCAAAGCTGCATTCAGTGATGTGTTGCCATGTCCACTTATTATACAGTAAGTAACTCTGGCCTTGTTGTTGTTGTTTTTTCAAGAAGTAATGAATTGCAGCTTTTTTGAACTCATTTCCATTATACAGTTACGCAATCTGGTTTGACAGTGCTATAGAACAATAAAGTATGACCGACTTCTAACAGTTGTCAAATATGCCCACCTGTTCAAGCCAACTCTGCAAACAAAAAGATATACATTTATTTTTAACTCCAGGGTTTTCAGTTATGAAAGAGAAAGTTCTTGATGGTTATCTGTCAGGTACATCATTGTGCCTCTTGACTGTTACTGTGAACTGTGAAATAGCATTGCAGTGTGTACTGTGTACACACTGTGTACAGCTAGAAAACCCTGGAGACCATAACAATATAATTTTTAAGCAACTTTCCTAAAACAGGCTTATCTTATTAAGCAACCCTGCTTATTTCAGACCAGGTTGCGAGATCTGGCAGCAATGATTCACCTCTCTTAGCAAGAGCTATCTTAGCATAGTTTTGCACATATCTTTAATTTTCAACTAGTCTCAGAATGAGCAAGAGTTTTATTATTATTATTATCTGTTTATTTCTAGAATTTGTCCTTGTAAACAATGTATATTCATCACAAGCTCAATCACTTTGCTTGGTAGAGCTGGATGATTAAATAAAATAGCGGAGACAGATTTGCCACAATTTTCTTTTGTTCCGCCCATTGTTTGGTGCTAATGTCAAGGCATGAGAGTTACTCTTGTTTTCTTACCCAAATTCCTAGCTGCAATGGCACACTGCAGTCAGCTTGTGTATTCAGCAGCGTCAGTATGCAGCACTTACTGTAGCTCTTGGCAGTGGGCCCTCAGAGACACATCTATAGGTGATATCTACCGTAGGCAGCATGTGCAGGCCTGGAATCTGCTACAGTCTTGATCTGCCCTTTCAGACTGTCCATTGATGACAGTGAAAAATGCAGCTGGTTTAGGCTCAACTCTAGGGATCGATCCCTGTCCATGAAGAGCCTGTTCAGATGAGATAGAGGTAAAAAGTTGCTATAAAACAACTTACATTAGCAGTTGTGTGGAGAGGGTGTATCGCTGCTTGGTAGATAATGGCAGTACTCACAATGTCCAGATTATATACAGTACTCTGTTTATACGGTTTTTGTACTGCAGTCCACCAAGTGGCGCTGTGAGAGATTAACTCAATCCTTACGAAAATGAACCATGTTTTATTATAGGAACCATGGTTTTTTGGGGGATTGATTACCATTTCCATTTGTATAACCACAGTTGTACTACAAATACCATGGTTAATTTGTGTTTACCATGGTTTCATTTGTAAAACCATGGTTCATTTTCTTAAAGGGGTCCTATTATACTTTTTCAACTTTAGTTAGTCTGTAATGTTGCTGTTTGAGCATAAAAAAGATCTGCAAAGTTACAAAGCTCAAAGTCCAATTCAAAAGGAGATATTTTATTTAACAGAAATCACTTTTCAAAAACTACAACGAACGACTCGTTTGGACTACAATGCATATTTACGGGATTTGTGATATCACAAATATCGACGAATGGGACGAGACCTGGTTGAGCTGCACTAGAGAAGGCAACGAGTGTTATCATCACTATGTTGGAGACGCGCTAGCTTTCTCAAGGCAGACGAACTTAGAGTGGTTACAATCATCCGGGTTTAAATCTCGCTCAAATTGATTTGATTTTGACAATATTTACACTGAAGCTCGCAGGCGGCTATGGTAAGGGGCATTAATTTTCCCGACCAGGCGCCGAATGCTGCCAATCACAGCACACACTGGCCCAGCTAACCAATCACAGCACATTTCGTATTTCAGAAGACGGGCCTTCATTTGATACAGGAACCATTCGAGCCGTTCATGCCAGACTGGGGAGAGAGGTGTTGTAATAATGTAAAATATGTGAAAAATAATGTGTTTTTCGAACAACCTAGTATGAGAGCCTGTTCTGGTACACCCCCAAAACAAAATCAAGACTTTGTAAAAGAGCATAATAGGACCCCTTTAAGGGAATGGTGGTCAAAGTGGTTTACCCCAACAATGGCTTTCCCCACAACTGGGCGACTGTCCTGGCCACAATCGCTACTGTTACCAGAGGAGCTCCCATTCCAGGCCCTGTACAACAGGAGATAACTGATAAATGGAGTAGTGTGGGAAAATGCACAGTGTATTAAAGGCAAGTAAATATTCATATAAATATTCACCTTTAGTGTACGCCACACAGTCAATATCTGCAGCTTTCAGCCCTGCTTCATCTAGTGCCTCCTGGAGCACAGTGAGAATCTCACTACGATGGTGTTTGGCTGTCTCACCAGGTAGGAACCCTGAGAAGATCATGAGAGAGCAATATAAAAATAGTACTATGAAAGCATGGTGACTTTTTATATGTAAAGATGACACTGCCCATTAGAAGTAATGACAGATCAGATGAGCTCACCTTGGAGGGAGGAGGGGTGATGTAAGTGTGCCTGGGGTTTGACAGAACTTCCCCATCTCTGATGATACCCACACCAATTTTATTAGCACTGCC